GTCTATCTTTGAAAAAGGATTCAGCCTAGATGTAATGACTGAAGAAATGGAGATATAAGATTGGAATACACTTATTGTTCAGTATTTGAAAGATCCATTTTTCCCCACAAGTAAGGAAAATAGAAGATAAGCAACTAAGTATGTTTTGTGGGAGGAAAATCTACTAAGAAAGACTCTAGATGGACTGCTGCTGAAATGCGTAGGCTAGAAAGAATCAATAAGGGTAATGGCCGAATCACATGAAGGAATCTGTGGGGCACATCAAGCTGGAACTAAGATGAGATGGTTGCTTAGAAGATATGGCTATTTCTGGCTCGAGATGGAGAAAAGTTGCAAAGCTTATGCCCGAGGGTGTGAAGAATGTCAAAAGCATGGACCTCTCCAACATCTGCCCTTAGTACCATTGAACCATGTGGTCAAGCCTTGGCCCTTCAAATGATGGGCAATGGACTTCATTGGGCAGATCTACCCAACTTCTAGCAGAGGACATACATTCATAATTGTTGCAACAGATTACTTCACTAAGTGGGTAGAAGATTCAGCTATGAAAACCATTACTTTAGCTGCAGTCAAGAAGTTCATTGAAACCCATATCTTACACAGATTTGGGGTGCCCGAGACAATTTTCACAGACTGCGGGCCATCTTTTATTTCAAGGGAAGTAGAGGAGTTTGAAAGTAAGTTCAAGATAAAGATGATTCAGTCTAGTCTTTACTATCCTCAATCAAATGGTCAAGCAGATGCCAGTAATAAGATCTAGGTGAACATTATTAAAAGAATGGTGGCCGAGAGTCCAGAAAAATGGCATGAGAAATTAGGAGAGACTTTGTGAGCTCACAGAACTTTCAAGAGGACAGCAACTGGAACTACTCCTTATGCTCTAACCTTCGGGCAAGACGTTGTGCTCCCCATGAAGATAAATGTGAGTTCTGTTAGAATTCAGAACTAATTCATGCTACACAGTGAGGAATACATTCAGGCTATATGTCAAGAAGTCAAGGATTTGGATGTAGCATGAATTGAATCTTTCAATAAGATTCAAGAAAGAAAGAGAGTTGTTGCCCGAGCATACAACAAAAAGGTAAAGTAAACGCCTTCAAAGAATAAGAGTTAGTATGTAAAACAATTCTGCCTTTAGGAGCTCAAATCAGAGGCTTTAGGAAGTGGAGTCCGAATTGGGAAGGTCATTTCGTTATCAACCAAGTGCTGGACAAAGAAGGATATTACTTGGCAGATGTGGAAGGAAGTTTACAGAATCATCCAATTAATGCTAAATTTTTTAAGAAATATCACCCAACCTTGTGGGATGTTAGGGATTGTTACATTGAAGAAGTTTAGACATTGTAAGAGATCCAAAAGTCAGCTTATATGCTCATTATAGTTGAGTTTCAAGAAGGAAATGCAAGCTAAAGTGGATTAAATAGTTCATTTTCATTTCATTAAATGTTGAAGTTACATGAGAATCAGTCAAATAGTTTTACATCCTTAGTGAGGGCAGCTATTCTAGAATGATATGTCTGCATGATAGAGAATATTCTGCCTAGCTCCTCTAAAGCAATGTTACTATTAGCCAATTGTGTTTCAGCATCTCATAACTTCAACATTTACTTTCTTGACCTCTTCGATCTTCTGGTGAAGCTGATTGGCAAAGATTATGCTGATTGGCAAAGATCATGCTAAGTGGTCACTGACGGCTACTGTCACTTTCATGTATAAACCCGACATTCGACACTTGAGGAGAAGAAGGCTTAGGTTGATAGTAGTCTTACCAAAGTCTTTGACATTGATCCTAAAACCGACAAGGTCGTGATAGTTGATCCCAAAGCATACACCTATGATGATGAAGTGATCAAGAAAGCAGAAGCTATAAGGGAAGCCATGGCAGTGGTTTGACCATTTAGAGGAAAAATGCATGACTTAGCCAAAAATGGGTTCGGGGTAAACCATTTCTTCTTGGGCATGTTGGTCTCAACCGCAATTGGGACCCGAGAAGTTCGTGCAGGCCCCAAGGAGTGCACTCCTCCCTTCTCAAAGAAGAGTTCAGTATGTAGGCCTGCCCGAGGGCAATGCAGGCCAATGAATAAGCAGCGCATGGTGGAAATTCTCTCACCAGTCTTGCAGGGAGATTGAGTTTGAGAAACTTTGGGTGCCATTAGATGATTTTGAGGAGAATATGAGAAGGAAATCAGAATTAAAAGGCAAGAATTAAAGAACGAGAAAGATTTTTGGAAAGTCTGAAGGCTATGAGAATTCTAGGAAGTTCAGGAAATTTGAAGGCTCGAAATGACTAAGGTATTTTACCGAGGAGTTTAAGTGAAAATTATATAGTGAGCAATTAATTAATGATGGAATTCATGGGTTAGTGCAAAGGTTTAGTTCACAACAACTGTTTTGAATAGCACAAGTCACGAGTAAAGACGTGTGGCTGCTATTTAATCATTATTAGCGTCTCGGGTTGCCAACTCAACAACGATTAAAGGAGGCATTGTTTGGGTTAATATTTGAACATTGGACTTAATTGAAGGAAAGCCCAAGGGTGCCAAATTAAAGGGGATTGCCTGAAGCCCAACACCAAGCCCGGAAGCCTTCTCAGCCAAATACAAGCCACATGCTTACTATTGAAGTGACAAGTGATGGTGATGGAGGCTAACCTACTACCAACCAAAGAACACTTTCTAGTGGCATTCAAAGTAAAAAGTTGATGACTCACTACCCTTCAAGTGCTTTTGGGCAAGAACAAGGTTGCAGCAATTGGGCTAATCTGCCTATAAAAAGAGGAAGAAGCCCTAGAAACAAAGACACTCAACCAATCAAACAAACAAACATACAAATTCTGCTTTCAAGCCAGATTTGCATCCAAAAGCTGAAATTAACCCATTCAGTCATTTTTAGAGATAAGCTATCTCTTGTCTAGATTTCCTTAGAAAGCCTATATTTCTCTAGTTTAAAAGCTCTGCTATCTCCCTTAGTGGCGTAGTATCGATTCCCTTGTGTAAACTTGTTTACCATCCATCCATTTTTAGCATATAAACCCCTGTTAATTCAAGGAGAAGTAACTACATAAGGTTCAACCTTGACAGACAAGGTGAAATCTTACCCCAAGCTCTTTGATTGTCTTCTAAATTTGTAGATCTATTACTTAATGAATTCTCTAGTATGTATTCAAGTCATATCCACCAATTTTCCTACTTTAAGAGTCTTATTTGCATCTGGATCTGGTTAGTTTAATGAATATGTCTTCATTAAAAGCAATCTAGGACCAAACAAATGACTTAAGGGGATCTGGACTTATTTCATTCAAACATACAAGACTATGAACTAAAAGTCCTTGTTTACAAGGCAAGGAAAAGAACTTAATGTGGACTTAACCCATCCACGACAATCCTTTGATAACAAAAAGTCTGAGTAACTTGGGGCGCAAGTAATCGACTAAACACACTCTTATTCTACATCTGTTATACTGAGATAGCAGTGGCACGCCTAGCACTCAATTAGTTTTGATTGTGAGCCTCAAGGCCTATACCTAAGGCCCCACAAAGGCACCTTTCATAACTAACTTTGTCCTCTTTTTGTAGCACATCAACAAGCAAGAGCCCGACTACACATCCAAGGTGTCAATCCCTTGGGAGCTGTGCTAAGGTTCGAGGACCCTTCTCCAGAGAAATCTTTGCCCGAACACCTGCAAAATGAGATTATCGCATTTTCAATTTCCTAAGTCCAGAGAGAATACTCCATTTGCGCAGAAGTGATGTGATGAACGGCATTCCAATGTATCTTATTATTCTTCATACCAGCTTTTAAAGCTAGTACGCAATTTGAATCGGACCCTAAGTTTGTTGTGTGGCTCTGATACCACATGTAAGACATATTCTGAAATCACAACAACATGACATTAGGATCACAAATAAATCAAATCAATATAAAATAGAGATTGACTCATTATAATAGACTTATCTGTAAAATACGGAACACATGGTTATGAAGATGAACCCATTGATCCTTGCGAACAAAGTAGAAGTAGTCTTCTACTTCCAGTACCTCTCAATGAACTTTACTATCAAAATAGGCTTGTAGTTTTCGTGAGTTTCAGTTGGTATAGAAGCAGGGACTGCTATTAAGTTATATAGCTAGGGTTTCAACCAATTCCTCCCTATTATCGGAAAGGATATCAACCCAAATCATATATAATCAATTAAAGTCTCATCATGACTATTATTCCTTGTATTTACTTAATAAAGGTCCATAATTGATTGCATGTAATTAGGACTCCAATATGTTTATTTCCTTAAGGCACCGAGAGTCCTAAAGATTTCATTAACTTGATTGTCAAGTCAACTATTCCCTCAATTATTCTCGGCATAATTAATTGACATTCACAAAATAGTTTTACAGTTATGTGATCAGACAATTTTACTCATGTCGAATCTGATGAAGGGCCAATAGGGCACGTGCCGCCCTCAATTTTTTGGTCTTAAAAAAAATTAGTTTTAAACAATTTGACAAAACTATCTCAAAATATACCTTCTTCATTTTTTTTCTCTGTGAAAAAGACAAGTTCAAAAAACACTAAACAACATCGACATCTCTCCGGTGCAAATATATCACTCGATTCTCGTCTAAGACCATACAGGAGGCAGATATCAAAGTTGATTATGACAACTCACGAAGAAGAACGAGGGAAAAACCTATGCGTGTTTAGATATATGACATCGATTTTTAGAAAAGTTTAAAGTTAGTTATTTTTTTTTAAATAATAAAAGGTCCATCCTTCTTCCTCCCAATTGTCTTATAAATTGGAGCTCCCGGGCCTACACGTATTCGATTTAACACTTTGTTTTATTGACTATAACAATATTCACAATTAAAAGAGCACTAAAGAGCAAGGATTTACTCTAACCACACAATGGTATGGATCAGTTAAGTGCTTGACGAAATGCCTCGCCGAAAAAACTGAAGAAAAAAAAAAATTGACGACGCGCGCACTATTGTTAGTAAGCAATGAAAGTAAAGTTTTACATCAGTCAAGAAGCTAGTTTTCTTTTTGGTTCATGTACCTTTGGCCTGGGAACAACCTCGTTCGAGTGAAGAAATCTACTATGGTCAAATTGTACAAAGAATGTTTACAGGATGAAGGCAAGGGGTTGGTTCCTCATATGTTTTTGAGGTAATTAAATCTTACTGAAAATTTTGTGCTGTAATTCACTTTGCGATGTCGTTGTATTTGTGTATTCAAGGATGGAAATATCAATATAAATCTGGACAAAACCGAAAATATGACTGATAACTTCAGATATCCATTATGGCCTGCTCAAAACCGAAAATATAACTGATAACTTCACAATTGCCTGTAGTCAGGGCCGGCCCAGGCCCAGTGCAAGCAGGGCAATCGTCCGGGGCCCAAAAATATTGGGGGCACCAAAATTATTAGGGTGGTATATTTATATATGTTTTCATAAGAGTATAAATTTATTAAACTTGGTTCAATGACACAGAAATTTAAGTAGAAGTGGTGGTTTGGTCATTTGAAAATAATGAGAGGTCTTGGGTTCAAAACACCACAAGTGCTTATTTACTTTCTAATTTTTACAAATTTCTTTTCATAAGAGTATAAATTTATAAAATTTGGTTAAAGGATCAAGAAGTTTAATTAGAAGCAATGGTTTTTGTTGTTTAAAATTAACAGGAAGTCCTAAGTTCGAAACGCTATGTGCATGTTTATTTTTTTCAATTTTTACAAATTTTTGTTTGGTTGTTAATTTATTTTTAGTTACTAGCTAGTAGCTATGTGGGTTGTTATTTTTAAATATTCGTTTCAATTCAAATCTAATCTTCAACAATGAGTAATACGTAGACCAAATTTTTCGTGCAAATTTGTAAATTATATGACGTGTTATCAAAATATTTAATTTAATGCCCATTCATTACTAATACATATCAATTAAAGACTCAAAAACATCATTATTTTTTTAGTCCCATATTGACATGGTTAGTAAATAAGAAAAAACACCTCATGATTTATACAAAAACACTTTCAAAGTTCAAATGGAAAACAAAACTCATCATATATCTACTTATAAGCCCAGAGTTGTCTGGTTTTCTTCTCTCAATACAAAATAAATTAGTCTTTTTGTGTTTCTAAATTATTGAGTTTGAGATGCTTTTCAAAGTATAATTTTATCAATGTCTTATGTGTGAAAATAAATAATTTTCTTATATGAAGTTAGGGCACTTTTTTTGGCGTCGCCCCGGGCCTCAAAAATCTCTGGACCGGCCCTGCCTGTAGTGCTTATTTTATGTGAATCATAGCAAACGTCCTTATCTGTATTTTATAAAAGAACCATATGAGAGGCGAAATGTACTGCAAGATAGAATTGTAATTTTGTAATGAAAAAAGGGAAGTAAACCCAAGTATGTGATGCTTATAGATTCATCATTTTACGTGTTCGTATCGGGATATGGCTCCTTTTACTTCGTTTGATCATTTGCCAGGTTTTAAAGACATTTGAGGAAGGAAATGTGTCACTAGCGGAATACTCATTCGCTCTAAAGGCTACAGTTGGATTGAATGCACTTGTACTAGCTGTGGCCCTGTGGGAATTGGTAACGGGAAGCAAGATCGAACAGACACTGCCATAGAGGCCTCAAATAAGGTTTTTCCTGTTGGTTTTTTTGCTACTTGATGCTGACCTACTCTGCTTTATATTGCAGTGCTTTTAAAGTATTGCATGCGTTGGTAGCACTCCTGAAACCAAGAGATTAAGCGTGAAACGAGCTCGCGTGAACGTTGATGATCTGTCTACCCTAAACAATCCTCTTAAAGCTTCCAAAGCTGCTGCAAATAGCTGGGCTTCAGCAAAGGACATGCTTCTCAACGAGCCCACTTCATCAACTGACAATGAAATTGCAACTGCTTTCATGCAACAGTCTGATCAATTAATTGTGGGCTCGGAGAATCAGCAAACTGAACAACAAGGCCTTGGAGATGGAGATGGAAATGATCCCCTGACGAGGATGTTAAATAGAACTTGCAAGTGTATTACTTCTGCGCTTGTTGCTTGCACACAGGAATCTTGTCTTCCCCAGATTTCAGAAAATCTTGGAGATAACATGACCTTGGTTTGTATGTATTATGCATAACTAGTAACAACCAACAATCTACATCTTTATTTCCATATTAATTTTCTTCCAAGGTTTCAACTTTCCATTAGTACTTTTCTTCGGCAGACGGCCTACTTAGCGTTGGAGGGAGAGAGGAAAATGCACAACATTTTGAATGAGGCAAGCAGGAAGGCTGAAAGTTGAATGTCTACGTGCAGCTTCTGTCTAGACAGACTTCGTTACGAGAATCTCAAGTTAGCAAAACTTCTTAACCAATGTCGTTAAAAGTTTTTGTCTTTAGAGGAGGAGTTGGATGCCAAAAATAAGAGTACTTTGCAAGACAAAGATGCCACCATAAAAGCTTTGATGGGTAGAATTGTTCAGCAGCCATGGAAAAGTGACACTGTGAAGCGGGAGGTGGCAGCTGTTTCGGCATTCAAAAGCTGGACCGAGTACTTAAATGCAATGGAGTCAGCTTACATCCAAGGATCTGAAAAATGTCGAGCTAGAATTAGCAAGCACCATCCTGATATATTCATTTTTTGTCAGTTGGTTGCGTTGAAAAGTTCACTTTTCAGTGTCATAAATCAAAATCCAAAAGTCATATCACATCCTCGGATGCCACAGATTATAGATGACAAAATTAATATATATCTAGTGAAGACATAAAAAAAAGAACAAAAAGAGTTAAAACGAATAAAATCAGACGCATGCGTAACCTTATCTGTTCAGATAGTAAGTTACGTTATGTCCACATCCTATTTATTGTGTTAAAACTATCCGTTGTTGGTATGTTACATTACTAGGCTGCTAATCACCGCTCATCGTTTGTGAGTTGACAATATTAGTGCAGCATTTGTGCAACTGCCTAAAGGATCAAAGACGTGCCTATTTCTTGTGTTTTTTACTCTTTCTTTGTGGTTGCATTTTTGGGCTTTCCATATGGGCTTCCAGTTTTGTGATTGGCTTGGGCTTTTCCTTTTGGTAGGCCTCGAAATGGCCACTCTACAACCTGGGTTTACATATCAAAACTCCCACGCTCAGGGACCATGATGCAATCCTTAAGAGCATATGTAATGTGTTGGGCGCTATAGGCAAAATCTATCTCCTCAAAACGATGATATAGCCTATTAATATATTTTTAGTTCTGATGGCGAAGGCCTAAAGGTTATAATTCTAAATTTTAAGTGGGTCTCATGCTCCCCAAGGTTTGGGTTGAGGCTAGTTTGACGTCGCAAGGTGCCTAGACTTCAATTTGATTAGGCAAATTTTGTTGAGTTAGAATTTTATTTTTTAAGTTTGAGATTATTTGGAATGTTATTTCTTATTAATAGATATTAATTAACTATAAATTAAACGTTGTTTTTACGTAACCAAAGTTAGTCCTATTTGTGTGACAATTTCTGAAAGGAAAGTGCTATTTACATACTTATTTTTATATCTTACACACTCTTGTTGATTTTTGGTCATTGTTCTTCTTCAATTCATTCGATCCCGACAACTAAAAATTGAGAAGAAAATATGAAAAGTAAAAATGATTGTGTGAATAATATTACCCTTTTTAAAACTACATTTTCAAAACCAACACGCACTTGCAAATGTAATTAACTCTCATTTTCTCTTACTAATGATTCCAGTTAATTAATGCTACTTGATTAATGAAACGATAATAATTATGACACTCAAAAGCCGAAAGAAAAATGCTGAAATCACAAATCAAGCCACTTGGAAAAATTGTGATGCTAAAAGGTGCATGGAGTTTTATTTTATAAATGGATCTAACAATAATTGATGGACAGCTGCAATTTATTCAATAGCAGTCGATCAAATATTTCACCGACAGTAGTGCAAAACGTTATCAAACAAATACAACGAGATTGGTGTCATAAGTAGCATGACATGATTCTATCGTCATAATCAATTGTTAATTAGCTTTTTGTTTGCTTTTACAAAAGATTGGTAAATTTACATTAAATTACAGGGAGGGGATAATAGATTCGACTACAAGACTTTAGTGTAAGGGTTAATATTTTTAACTAACTGAGCTATAAGTAGTGTTTAAAATACTGATATAAGTGGAAATAACGACATACAAATTTATGAAAATATCAACATGCGTATAGAAATATCAATAGATAAATTGATATCAATATGGATTGTCTTCACGGAAATTATGAAAATTTGCAACGAGAGGGGTAAATCAACTCATTTAGATTTAGCGAAACTAGAGAAAAATTTCTCAAAAAAATTAAAAATTCGAATCTGTAATGGATTTCGACAAAATTTATGTAGTGAATCCGTAAAATATTATTGATATTCATTTATTTTCATATATCTCGCCGATATAAGATGAAGTTTGCACTTCGCCCCTTTCATATCGATCTTTAATTTTTCAAATATTTCGACAAATATATCATAATTTTGTAGATATTTTAAACACTAGTTGCAAGCCATTTTGCTTTAATTAGTTTGTAAATAAGTTGTTTTTGGGTACGTAAGTTACTAACAATAATATGATTTAAACTTGCATTTGACAATAATTAAACCTAAAAACCTCTAATTTATAAATAAAAAGAAATACCACTAAACCATAGAACTAAATGACTGCTTAACAAGTTTTAAAAAACAGAGGATTGAGTTGAGTTGATGTTGTGGTCAACGAGTAGACTCAAATTATAAGGAGGAGCGTTGATCAGTGCCTTCACTTTTGGCGTGCCAATAGATTGACTTGAGTTGGCTGACAAAACCGGGCTTTGGTAATATTTTTATGTTTTCCTCCCAAATAAATTAAAGATAGGCCAACAATATAAAATGATTGCCAACAACTCAAAATACTCTCTCAGATCATCTCCAACCCTTGGGCTAAAAGCCAAATTTTTTAATCCGGAAAATTTGGCTTTTAGACTAGAAACATCTTTTTTGCTCCAACCCTTCTGCCCTAAAATTTTAGCCCGGAATTATTAAAGAATGAACTTAGACTAATTTTTTTCTTAAATCAATTTTTTTAAATAAATATGTAGATTATTGTAAATTAATTTTATGAACATTTTAATCTAAAAAAATTTAAATTCCGATAAACATTTGACATTTAGCCCGGGGGGGAAGTTGGGGGGTATTTGGCCTAGAAATAACATTTGGCATTTAGCCTAAAATTTTAACATGGGTTGGAGAGTGTTTGGGGGAGTAATTTGGCTTTTAGCCCAAGTTTGTGGGCTTTAGGTTAGCATGAACATACCTTTTTTTTCCTTGCAATTTTATCTGCAATTAAAAGCGGGTAAAGTCTTATCTCAATTGTTAATTTGATAGGAAAACTAATTAAAAGAGTTTGAAAATTTTGAGTTTTAACGATAATGATAAAATAAAGGGAAAAAAATATGCAGATAAAACTCAAAATCATAGTACCATGATTGACTTTTTAGTGTAAAAATATGATTTTTTGTTAAAGTGAACAGTACCGGAAGCTTTTCGTTAAAATTCCTTAATTTAATCGATCTAATGACAATTGTTGTTTCAAAGCAAACTTCTTCAACTTCATAAATGAAGTGATTCAACTACCGATGTGAGATTTTGTCATAAATTATGTACAATATTGTCTATTAAAAATGAAACGAATGTATCGAATACAAAGGATGACACATTTAAACCAGTAATGGAGTGGTTCAGGTAAATTTGATTCGCATGTATAAAAAGCATGTTGCTTGAGTTTGAAATCTAAAATACTATTGTTGTAGTGATGTGAGTTTAATAAATAAGATCCCATTATTTCATAATCCAAAAATCATATTACATCTTCAAATTCTCTAAGTGATACGCAAACAAAACTTTCATATTTTAAGTGAACAAATAAAAATACACAAAGAAAAGGAAAGTATTATTTGCACTCCAAAAATCTCATTCTACACTCCTCATAAGTGTATTTTTCTTTCCAAATATAAAAAGTTTGGAGTGTAGAATGAGATTTTTAGAGTGACAATAACAATTCCTAAAGAAAAAGTTAAAAAGACAATATAATTAGACGCATGGGTACTGTTTTATGCTTAAATAGTTAATTACTACGTTCACATAGTCTGTTTATTCTGTTTATGTTGTTAGTTAGTGGTGTGCTATGTGTTATATTGTTAGGGCGCTAATCACCTCTAATATTTTCCTTGTTAATTGACAACTTTGTGTGGTATTTGTGCTATGATTTATGAACATTACTGAAGTTGAAGGGTTTACCTAACTCCATGTTTAAGAACTCATGTCCGAGTTAATTAGCCATAGCTTGACTCAGTTTATGACCCAACCAGACGTCAATTGAAAGTTGAGCTTTCCTTATTAGGAAAAATTTCCTCAAACAATATCCAAATCATTAAATCAGAAAATAAAAACTTCATAGATAAAAAATACTCTCAAAACAACTAATAGGAAAGGGTTCGGGGGCTTTAGGTTGGCATTAATATATTTTCTTTATTTTTTATTTTTTATTTTTGCAATTAAAAGTGGGTAAAATCTTATCTTAGCTGTTAATTTGACTTAACGACAGTTGTCATTCTACACCGAACAACTTCAATTTTATAAATGATAAAGTGATTTGGCTACCGATGTGAGATTTTGTCATAACTTATATACAATATTGTTTGTTTTTTTTATAAAAAAAAAAATTAGAGGGACAACTGGTGGCAAACCACAGTTATCCATCCCTTCCAAGGGCCTGTAATACAATATTGTTTGTTAAAAATGAAATAAATGTAGAACATAAAAGAGGATACGTATCCACAATGGTTCATATGAATTTGATTCCCATATATAGAAAGCATGCTTCATAAGTTATGATTTTTTTATAATTTGCTATAGTTGTGTGAGCTAGTAGATTTGACCTAGTAATTTATAGGAATCAAACTCATGAAACATGTATAATACACTTAACAATTGGACTAACTCTTATTGGACTCAAAATTTCTAGTTCATTGTAGAATGCCTTACTACACAATCATATATCTCATGAACGACAATTACATATATTAATTCAAATGTATTTTCACCTTACTAATCTTATTGATTGATAGTTTTACAACATAATAGTATCTCATGTCTCAACATCTAACCTATGCATAGCGCAAAGGTTGATAATCTAGCTAATTTGTCGAGATATCTAGTAAGAAAACATTACCACATATAGTACAATTTTATCTTATCTTGGATGTATACTTGTAAAGTGCACTATTTAGTGTCTTAAAATTGAATTCAAAAACCATATTACGTATTTAAATTTCATAAATGATATGCGACAAAAGTTCCGTTTTTTTATGTGAACAAATAAAAAAATAGAAACGAAAAGTTAAAAGATAGTAGAAGTAGACACATGCAAAACGTTTTCCGCTCAGATAGTCAGTTACTACATTCACAAAGTCTGTTTTTTTCATTCATGTTGTCAGTTAGCAATGCATTATGTACTATATTATTAGGCCGCTAATCACCTCTTATCCTTTGTTAATTGACAACATTGTGTGTAACATTTTTGCTAAGATTTCTGAACTGAGTTTGAGCCCTAAGTTGAACCCTTCACCAAACTCCATGTTTAAGAGCTTATCTCCGAGTTAGCCAAGCTTGACTCAGTTGACAA